TGTAATTTGTATATTACATTTCTTTCATTTCGTTCAAAGAATATGTGTGCAATTAATAAGTGCAAGTCGTACATTTAAATCAAATTAATCGTTCATAAAAATCGTACATTTTTTGTCATTTTAATGCACTGAGGTGAATAACAGCCGAAATCCATCAGCAGCAGATGGAGTAACTGTATTACAACGATTACTTGTACTGTTATTACTATTTCAAGTTTTGACCAAATACACTGTTAATATCATTAAAAGTTTTGACCAAATAACAGCAGATAATATCTCATGGGCCGTGTTATTTTTGCGAAAATCTTCAAAGTTGGCGGAAATCGTTTGGGGGGCAGTATATATGAAACTTCTCGAGCAAAACTCTGTATGTTTATTGTAAGATGCGCTACCTTAAGGTTCTTTAGTGGTGCGGGGTCGTAACATAAGACAAGCTACGGTACTTGTTTTATATTGAAGCAAAATTGTTCCATTTCTTTGGTCTTTGATTGTGGAATAATAGTTTTTCTTTCAAATGAACTGTTTTGCATCAAGAGGGGATCGATCAGTTCTTGGTAATTTTCTTGGTGATTTGTCGTTAGTTAAAGTTTTTTAAAATATATGAAAATTTTTGCAGTCTCTAATATACAAAAATGCCGAAATATACAGAAATTCACGGAGAAACTTTACGGGACGTGTCTGTTAACAGTGACGGCATTTCCTTTCAAGAACATGACTTGAATAGAGAAGTTGTAAAATCGGGCTGTATTGCGTGTTTGAAGTCACTCTTTCTTGATATATTTATGCCTAGAGGTTTTCCTCACTCCGTTTCTGAGGATTACGTAAGCTATCAGGTATGGGATACCATTCAGGCTTTTGCTAGCTCTATGAATCACGCCTTATCTACTGAAGCGATACTGCGTGGTGCCGGTATTGGAAATGAGGTGATTATAAATATCATTTATTCATTGCTACTTTTTCTATATTTCGTATATGATGCAAACTGTTAGTGATGACGATTATCTGCTGATATTTTGGGGACAAATTTAAAACTTCTGTATAACAACTGTTTTACGATCTGTTATCATTGTCATCATTATTTTGTGAAGAGAATATGCTAAAGTACGAACCTGCGTGATATAAAGGTATTAGAAAAACAATAAAATTTCAGGTTAATCAAGTAGTTGTGTTAAGTTTATATCTGATCAATTTCAGTGAGCTTAAATGTCAATAGTAAAAATTAATTCTTGCTATTTTGAAAATGCATCAAAAAATAGATAGAAAACTTTTTGCTTCGATTTATAGGCTGCAACAGCTATAGCAGCTACAGTCGCATGGTTGTTAAAGGATGGCTTAGGAATGATAAGTAGAATTGTGTTTGCATGGCTTACTAGTCCATACTTTGATGCCCATTGTAAGCAGTGGCGATTACTAGCGGATATTTTGAATGACATAACATTTTGTATGGATTTAGTTGTGCCAAATTTTCCAAGATTTTTTGTTTTTGTTTTATGTCTGTCATCACTATTACGCTCGGTTGTTGGTGTAGCTGGAACATCCACACGTACTGCAGTCACTAGTCACCAGGTTCAATTGTACCATAAGCCTTTTTGTGATTATTTTTCGACATATTATTTTTTTTTCTCGTGAATCTTCCATATTATTTGTTGTAGATAAAAGTTAATGAAAATTTAAAAATTTCAGTGCATTAGCAATACATTATTGCTGATTTATTGCTGTTCAAAATACGTTACTGTGGTATTTCCAGGCCATATCAGATAATTTGGGAGATGTAGCGGCGAAAGATGTTTCACAAGAAACAGTAGTTAATATTTGTGCTCTTGCTTGTAGCCTGCTTTTGCTTCATTTTGTGAGCGGAAGTGTTGTTGTGTGGCCGCTGTTTATTGTTTTCACATCTGTTCATCTTTATGCTAATTATCGGGCTATTAAATCGTTGCAGTTCAGGACACTGAATCATTCATTGCTCGAAATCCTCATACGGTACATGCGTGTTTTCGTTTTTCCATCTAAAGTGACTTAATTTCAATTCACTTGTTTTAATTTTATCATAGATTTTAAATTTATGATTCAAGTGAGCATTGAGTTTGCGATTAATTACGTCTAGATTGGAACTTATTAATTACTAATAATTCTGCATTCATTGGAACGTCGAAAAGTTGTAAATCAAATTACTGAATTTCAAAAGCTTTCTTTATGACTATATCGGTATTTACTTTATTCATTGTTTTCGTTTCTCATTGATGAATAAAAGATTTTGTTTTCATTTTGTATTTCCTAAATTATTTTTCATTTCCAGGAAATATGTGAAAACAGGAAGTATAGATGACGTGCGTTCTGTAAACGACCAAGAATCAGTGTTCTCACTTAGAGTTTCATCATCGCGATATTATGGATGCTCGTTAATAAAAACACTGAGTTCTGCAAACGAACTTAAATTTGTCTCTTCTAAATTTATTGCTTCTTGCAATTTAAAATTGAACAGTGGTTGTGTATCGATGGCTAGATTTTCGAATACAAAAGACCAGCTTCGCGCAGCGGCCTGTCTAGAGCTGATGTTGCATTTGAGAATGTAAACTCATATCTGTTTCCGAATATTTCTTGATTTTGTTACATATCGTATCATATGTAATTCACAAGTAACCACTAAAGATCCTTTTCAAGTTATCTCATTTCTGCACAAAGTAATTTGATCAATGTTTTGGAATTTTATCATTTGCAAGATTCATGGAAAAACTTATTTTAGAGTTCCGTCACTCTCTCAATTGGATGAATTTACTGAAGGACTGAAAAAAGTTGGTTGGTCTATCGATAAGCATCGACTTGTATTTGATCGCTGGATTTACATGGAGAAGTGATTTTAGAGACCGTTAATTTGGAAAAAGAAATTTGTGATCGATTTTGTTAAGTGCTGTCAGTTTTCCTATTGTTTCATATTTGATGATTGAATATACTACGCACCACATATTTTTGGTACTGAATTGCTTTCATAAAATCTTTTGAATATATGTGGATTACTGTGTTTATTTAAAACCCGATGGTTTGGACATTATATTGTTTGTGTGATCGTAATCAAAATAGAAGAACATATCGGGGATGGTCTAGATCATTTTCGTTCACGACGCTAGAAGTTGATGCATAGGTGGATAGCGTAAATTATATTAAAAGTCTATTTTAACTAAATTCATCTGCATTACTTTCTAAAATCTAAAACAGCATAATGAAAACTAACAGTTCTTCAGTAATGACTCAGTGCAGCTTGAATAGCAGTGGTTGGGACTATCCATTGTTTAACATTTGATGAAATTTTAGGGCGTCCATAAATATGAACAAAATCAAACAGTATCACAAAATTAGCGATCACATATTAAGAATGAAATTATTCCTAGTTTGAGAATAATTGACCCATGTTTTTTGAGTAATAGCATTGCATAACTTGAATCAGATAATCACTTTAGCAAATTATGAAATCACAATAAGTTCCTTGGAAGATGTACCGAAAATGTCAGGAGATATTACACGATACCTAGGAGGAAGACTAGCTTTAAAGGATTTGGTAGATGTTTATGGACTAATTCTTCCTTTTCGATTGACGTAATCTATCTAACTAGACATTAGTGATAACAGTTGTAGACTCAAAGCACATGATTTGGTTAGGAATGACAAGCACTAACTTTAAGTGTAGAAAGTATTTTGTAGGTTTTTTCTTAGACAGATTACGTTACCATCTGTTGATTCTTGAGTAAGCAGCTTATGTTCAACAAATATAACTACCTAAGGAAAGTAAAATCAACACAGCAATAAGACAAAAATTTGATGTGCTTCGGGAGAATCCCAATGCAATAAATTATTTCATTCAGTAATTTTAACTAATTTCTGAATTAACTGAAATTGTGTCTAATATTAGGAATAGAATTGCGTACCCGCTTTCTTCTAACTATTCGGTACTGAGAGAAAAAGTGCTGATTTATTCTACTTACTCTACAAAGTCCAATAATGCATCAAATATCGTTTTTATTGAAATGAACAGACAAAATATTAAAGCTATGTGAGGACCAAAGCGACTTGTAGCCTCGGATGATTCTTGTTGCTTGTACCATTTAAAGTCAATACCATCCATTATGATTGCTTTTTGCTTGCTTAAATATTGGAATTGAAGATAATATTAAATCAAATCACTGGACAAAAAAATTGGGTATCTTCTATAAAATTCAGAAAGAATATCCATGGAGCAGTTGTAAAATTTATATTTACTAAAATAAATGATTCTACATGAAGAAAAATTTACTTGTTTGCTTTTGTTATTCATGAATTTGACTGCAGAGTTGATGATGAAACCTCAGTAGATTCAGATTGTAGCAAACTGGAAACTTCATTTGGTGACAATTTTTCACGTTGTGTTTGGCATGATAGGGAACCTGAGGTCTCATGAGTTTTATCAGCTTCACCGCTATTATAATTTTTTTCTTGTTCCTCTGGAATTCGTGTTTGATACCTGTAAACTCTAAATTCAATATTCATGGAACACAAAAGATTGCATACGATTTGTCATTTAATGATAGAAATTTGATAGCCACAAAAGCTTTTTGACGGAACATAATTTTCTCATCTTTTTTGTTGAGAAAAAAAATTTTTTTTTTCTATAATTAAGTTTTATAAGCATACGAAAAAAAATTCTTTCAACATTAAAATTGAATTAACGGATACGAAGTACCAATCACGATTGGATTCAAGCTGATCAAGTATACACTGAGCGTCAGGATTTACCAAATCTGCCCACGTTTCAAATAGAGGATGCACGATGTAATCAATGAACCCAACCTAAACACATTAAAATAATTCATTAGTCAATTATTTGTTAGTCATTGTTACAACAATCATCTCTTGATATTACAATAAAAATTTGAGTCCCTGATTTCGCACTCCTAAACATATATGAGAAAATCGTAAAAATATTCCATAGCATGTACAAACACTACATAAAATGTGGATCAAAACAAGTGTAGAAAACATTTAGTATCATAGTAAGCTGCTCACTGAAGCGATATCTTTATCAAAGAACATTAAACTATGAAAACTGCATTGACACTAAGAAGTATTTACGTCTAAAATGACCTGGTACAATTTGATATATCTTTATCAAAGAACATTAAACTATGAAAACTGCATTGACACTAAGAAGTATTTACGTCTAAAATGACCTGGTACAATTTGATAGCATGGCTTAATAAAAATATGATCCAAGTAAAATTACTGAAGTTTATTTATTTAAAAAGTGATTAGAGAGCTAGCTCTTCATACTGTGATCTAATAATAAATATTGTTTATTCGAAGATTCTAATGACTAGCTTTTCTGATGATTGCTCTTTAAGTATATAATAATGACTAGAAAACGAAAATCTGTATATTCCTAATTTTCCTAGTATGTTCATGATTTTTCGTTAATCCTACATGAAAATCATTTTAACCTGTTTACTTGCAGTAGGAATAATTTTATTTATCAAGTAAATATGATGCACCTGAGATTTTTCAATGGTAACATTATTTCTGTCACACATTGGCGAAATATCAATGCCCAAGTCTCGTTCCCTGTCACCTTGTCTCCAATATTCTTCCATTATCCTTTCTACCCAAACACTATACAAGTCAATGGGCTTTGTTGGATTTGATAAGTCTGCCAAGTGAATCATTGACTGCATCACCTACATGGAAATAATGATGACAGTAAAGCAAAATGAAAGCAAACTTTAATTAGATTGAAATGTGAAGCATGTAAAAATACTTTACCAACATTTTCATGTGTTTCATATTTTGATATGTTGGCAACAGATATTACAGATCAGTTCCGCATATATTTAGAAATAACCGCTTAATAGACAATGAAATTTGCATAATATGAAGAAATTTTTAGATATTCTGAAGAAATGAAATTATAACGGAATGCTTTAATTTAAGCACCTGAATACGGTCTGTTTTGTCTAATGTCAGAACTGATGATCCAGCAACTTTTTTCGCTTCTACCATAGTTTTCAGATTAGCCAGAATGCTCATGTGTTTGCACATATCTGTTGCCAATACCTATAAATAAAGATGAGAGTAAAAAATAATTATGATTAATATACTTAAAATGAACTTTCTATTTTTAGTTAACATATCCAAGTAATGTAATCAACCCATATTTCTATCATTTTCAGGCTTCTTTCCATTGTATTTATTAAATTTGTTTACATTTAGTTTTCTGTGTATTAAATAACTTTTTATTATCACAATAACTACAGCAGTCAAAAAGTTAATTTTCATTAATAGCACTTATTTTGAAGGTAATCAATTGATAAAAGTAAATTCTATTTTCAGTAATCGTAATCATTTTAAAGGCAGTCACGAGAAACGTTTTGACAGAAGCGAAATTACGTTAGCGATTTTATGACTAAAAAAATATTAGAGATGTTATGGTTGTTTGAACTTATCACTTTATTTTATCATCAAAAAATATTCAAAAGATTGCTAATTAATCAAAACTAACCATTTCAATGGCGAGTTTTCGGAACAGTTGTCGCTGTTTCTTATTCAGTGATACGATAAAATTACAACTTGAATCCTGCAGCAATTTAAATGCAACTGCTAAATGATGCTGTTCTAAAACTGATTCATCGTTGTACATTATAGCCAGTTCGGAGTCTGGAACAGTGGAGTAGTCTTCATTCTCATAAAATTTACTGCTTGAAGTACAGATAAGCTATTAAAAATGAGCAAAATTTTTTCTGGATTGCTTTTTATTTACAAATTTTTGTTAAAGAAAATTATATTAAATTGTAATCAATTATGCAATTTTCTGAGACTAATGTTTTTTAGTGTATGCTAAAAAAATAACTGGTATTGATGAGATACTGATTGGTGAATCCTGGATGATCAACATCGTGAATGGCTCCTGCAAAAATTGATGCCAACACTTCCAATTCAGAAAAGACATCCTGAAACTTTGTATCTATACTGTATTGAGTTCGTTCATTTTCTTAAAAATTACGGATTATTCTTGTTGAAAACGCTTCATTTTTAGAATATAGACATTTTTTCATCATATTTAGTCCTTAGCAAAATTTGTTGGTGATGATGTCCTTAATAAAAAGAATTTGTACATAAAATTATTGACAATATTACTAATTGAATGGACTAAATAACATTTCATTTAAAATCATTTCATTAGTATAAAATATACACGATTAATTTATTATCTAATTCCAAATAAAGTATAAAGATGAGAAACATTTTGAAAGTTTTTTAATAGTATGTACTTTTCAATCAATTTTAAAAGTTTCCCACTAACTTTAACGACTATTCAAGCAATTTTCTAGAAACAAATGTGAAGAAAATAATAATAACACATAATTATTATCAAATAATAGTTGTAGTCATTATTGCTGCAATAAAAACCAATGCCACCTGAAGGGCTGGTGATGAAAGAAGCACATTAACAGACTGAGTTACATCAGCTGCATGAATCTGGCCATGATAAGGATTATCTCTATAATGATGCTCCAAATGAAGCAAATAATTTAACAGAATTCCAGTTGGGATTTCAAATGTCTTCAACAAACCACGTCTCTAAAATATTTATATTACATAATTATTATGATTAAATAAAATGCACATATCCTTTACAAGTTATCATTTAAACTGTTTCCAACTATTAGTCAAATGTTGATTCAGTCATTTTTTATATTATCATTATGGTTATCAATCTCAAAACTTTAAAATTCAATTACACAGCAAGTTAGTGTATTTTTCGGAAAACATAAAATTAATAAAAAGTACGTTAGATTACTCGATTACGTCTTATGATTAAATTTTTTAAAACAATCAGAAATAAAATAGTACTCTGTTTTTTAAACCTCATAAACTGCATAGACTTTATGTATTAAAAAAAATTTTTTTTCAGAAGAAAAACAAAATACTATTGGGTTATTTTCAGCAAGTAAACAAATGTTTATGTATGTATTTTAGCAAAGAACAACGAATTGATCATGATGAAGGCCAGTGAAAAAGTACTCGGAACTAACTTTGAAAATAGTAAAAGTGATTGCAGTAAGCGAATGTCCTTTGCTGAATTCTTGAATTTTGAATATATTTGGACCCCATTGATCAAGCTTAAAAATGAATAAAAGTGAAAACCAGCAAAACATTCACTTAGATTTTTGAAATGATAAATTTACGCATAGAGAGTGAGTGCTTTCCTGCATGCATTTGCAGTGCTCAACAATAAGTGCACAAGTAATTTATGCTGAAAAGATTAAAACCTTTTGCATATGAACAGCTAATTCTTTGTGACCATCAACACCGTATTCTGGGATATTGCTACCACGGGGCGAGCGTAATTTTCGAACACCAATAATGCGAGACATTGCTGCGGTTTTCGCTTTCCCCAACAATGATATAGGGACATTATCAAGGGATGAAGTAGACGCAGAATCATCTGGTACCTCAAATTAAAATTGAGCATGATAAACTGAATTCACAATTTTATTTTCCAACTAAATAATTAAGAAGTTTTGTTCGGTAGTCAGAAAAAAATGAATGATAATTCTGCATATTTGAAAAATGATGGTCGTAATCACTACTTTTCGAGAATTAATGATAAACTAGTATAAAAAATAAAATTTTCTTGCAGTGAAAAATCATTTTTCTCATTTTCTCACAAAAAAACAAAAAAAAAATGATCTGCAGTGAATAGTCAATTATTATTGCTGAAAGTGTTAAATCTTTCAGTCAAATCGAGCAGAAAAATGTGTGACATAAACTTTGGTTTCTCTTCATGAAAATTAAATGACAATTTATTGATAAATTCATAGCTTTTCATTTTGTTTAATTTAATATTGACTCATTCTAACTTGTTTTCAAAACAGAACAAATATGAAATTGAGAAATAAAATGACGAAATATTCCAAAAATTTTGCGTACAAAAAAAAATGAGTATGAGTTTTTTGACAACGGAATGACGACACACTAACTTATAATACGCTTTTTCAGTTTTGATCTGCTTTTGCATACATAAAAGATGATGGACAGAATGATCTAAATTGAATAACGAAATATCGCTAACTTTTTCAGTTCAACATGGCCTAGTATCAATTGTCACATATTATTAACAGTATGATTATAAAATGACAATTACAAAAATTATGTTTATACATACAGCATCACTAATAACAGTAAAATCAATTCTATTAAACATAATATTGGAGTGAAATTTCGTCCACGTAATTAATACGAAATTGAAAGACATAATTTTCTGTTATGGCTGGAACGAAATAAATTTTAGGAAATAAATATGGTTACTTTTTTATAAATTAGTGAAAGTTAAAATTCAGTACATTGAAAATTGAGTATTGCTTATCGGAAAATTATCATATAAATAGTAAATTGATTGAAAATTAAATAAAAGCACGAAAAAAATTTACCCTCAAATGTTGTGATACTTCATCGTCATCTTTGTCCATGTAAGTATTGATGAGAAACTGAGATACTTGGGTACCCGATTTCGATGATTCCGCAAATTGTGTGAGCTCTTTGTTAAGCATTTTACGAAACTGCAATAAAACAATTTCTAATCTGCTTAGATTAAAAATTAACTTTACAGCTTCATTTAATTGAAGAAGAAAAAACATTGACTGATAGTTGAATAAGTTATTAGGTAGAAAGGGAAATGAAATAAAAAACTGTATACATTATCATCTCATCACTTTTATGCTTTTTAAGCAATGTTGTAATGGTAAGCATGCAAGTGAAATTACAACTGCTAATAGAGCATTTTCAAATGTAAAGAATGCATAAAATTGCTAGTAAAGTTTAGTATGCTTTAAAATATGATTTATAGATCAGTTAAGTAAGTCTTATTCGTTTACTTGCTAATTATATGCAAGATAGAGAAAGAAAACATGCCAACTAATAACTTAAATATTCGTTGATGCACCTCGTGGGCGCATTCTTTGTCAATTGCTCTTACTTGTTAAATTCTCAATTTGCTTCTTCTTACAACTATGAAGCATATGCAAACTTGGAACTTGAAAACTTGCAAATGAATGAGTTGACAAATTTTTTCTCATTCTATGTTACAGCTTGTATAAATTTAGTTTTTCTTTCCTGAAATATTGAAAACAAAGTTCGTTAGAGGAAAATGAAGAAACAAATCGAAGCATGAATTTAAATTCTGGTAAAATTTTTAAAAACTGTATCGATTATCAATCAGGATCCATTTATCCATATGACTGATTAGCTAATCATCAATTGCATATGTTTAATGAAGCAGCTATCTTTGCATAGGAACTAAGGATTTGTTGATAAAATTTTTAAAGTAATACTAGCTTTAAGGTAAACTACTGGCCAGAAACAAATTGAACAGAAAGAAATGTTTTTTGATGAACAAAAGCTCGGCAATGTTTGCTGGCCTTGCTGACGCCATCAAATTTACATCTCATTGCTAAAATTCATTCAGTATTTTCACTAAGCATAAAAATGAAGCCAGAAAAAAAAGGGAAAAAACGAAAAAACAAGCTTTACTGCTAGAATAGAGAATGATAATAGAACGGACATTTGCATGTTCATTTACTCTCATCCAACTCACCTAATTATTTCTACATATCTGCTGTTTTATGTGTTTAAAGACGATACAGTTATATCTGTGGTCTTCCATCATATAAAAACATAAGTATAAACACATAAATAAATATA